CTTTTGAGAATAAGGACTTAGAAAGCCTTAAACTTTGTGCAAGAAGAATCTCTGAAATACTTTCTAACTTTCTTTTCAATCAATTGATATTTGTTGTCTCTTTCAAAACCTAACCTAAAAACTTCACCCCCCAAAATTTCTTTGGATGATCCCATTGAAATCTAACTTCTTTCTGGTATTTTCCTAATGTCTTTCCACACTATGTAATACTAACTGATGTGTTGCCTGTTATTATGAATATTCAGTGTATATGTGGTCAGTGTAAATATGAGCCTTTTTCTTAATTCTTTGCCTTTTCTTCCTTCTGGTCCTCACCTTATCAGTATTAATAGCATTCTCAGGATGTTATAGGCCATTTAAAATGCTATGTAGTCAGAAGAAATTATCTGCTCATTCTTTGTCCCTCCTAGAAATCAAGACAGTCTTAAAGCATAGACTGAGCCCTTTCCCTTAGCTAAACTGGTTTTTGTATTCTTTGGCTAGCTGCCTAAATTGAAAATCTGTAACTTGACACTTACTAGCTCCATGAAGTTTAATATTAATTGGCTTTCCACCAATCACTGTTTTGGAACATCATGAAAAGTACTAAATTCTTATCTATGTAATAATTTTCTTTCAAAGAAGATAATTTTAGTTTTAATGTTGGGTTTTTGTTTGTTTGTTTGTTTTTTAGTTTAAGAGGTAATATGTAGGAGCAAATATCACATAGCAAATCCTGTAGGAATGGAAACATTGCTGTTATTTTTTTAATTTCAGTGTAGTTAACATACAGTGTTATATTAGTTTCAGCTGTACAATATAGTGATTCAAGGATTCTGTACATTACTCAGTGCTTATCATGATAAATGTGCTCTTAATCCCCTTCACCTATTTCACTCATCTCCACATCCACCTCCCCTCTGTTATTTTTATTACTTATGATTTTCAGATTATTCTAGAATTTTGTCCTAGAATAAGATCTGTTACTTTTTTGCTTCATTTGTCATGTTTTCCATAATTTAGCTAAACACATCCTGCCCCATATCTCTATCTCTAAAAACCTCAATATGAGAAAATGATTTTTCGGGGGGGGGGGAGGGGATTCCATTAATACTAGGACAATTTTAAGTCTCTCCAGCTTGTAGCATTGAGGTCCTTAATGCTGTCAGCACTCTTGCTGCTTTCTGAATTAGTAATTAACTGCCATGAATTGTACACATGTGCAGGCATCTGAAGACTTTTTTCAGGTACTGTATTGTTCTGCAGTCTGTGGCCTGCAAGAAAGATACTTTTCGTGCTTTGTTAATGACTAAGCCAAGATAAATAGATGTTCTTGGGCAGTGAGCAGCTGAACCTCTTTGACAGTTTTGACTCCTTTCTTTACTGTATTTGCATAGTTTGTTCCCTTCTTATTGTAGATCACGGTGAGCTGATTCTTAACCAAGTTCTGGCGGTATGGACAGGCAGGAGGCTGGTGTCTGGAGCATGTGCCTGCAGTGTGCCCTTCCTATGTCATGGCTGAAAGTTCAGCTCTCTTATTTTTATGGTCCCCAGGCATGGGCACTTTATGATAGTTTTCTTCCTGTGTACTATTCCTGTAGTGTGATCTTCATGTTAATTGGTTTTCACCTTGTTCAACAGATATTTAGTGTTTACTATGTGGCAAGGAAGGTTCTTGTTGTTGTTCTACTTTTGACAGAACATGATCTTATGTTTTCTATTTTCTCTGTCCTTCCTTAACAGTAGGGGATCCCCAAACTTGTGGCTGAGAGCTACTTTGTTCCTCCTTAGAAGCTTCACAGATGGGAAGCTGTAGCTGCCACATGCCCATCCCAGCTAGTGAGGGTAAGGGGCCCAGCATGGCTGAAAGTTGCCTCCTCATCAATCTGTGGGCTTGAAGGGAGGGATACCCTTTGCCATCTTCCTGCATCTTACTCCTGCCGTATGGGGCCAGCAGCCTTTTCTTTTTCTCATCAGGCACCAAAAAGGGGAATGGGACCCCACTCAGGGAACACCTGAAGGAAGTGAGGTGCTTTCCAATCACACTGCCATTGGAATTTATGGTGAATGCTCTTAATAAGCTAAGAGCTATTTAGCCTCCTCTTCTGGCCCATTCTCTTCCTTTCCTTCTTTTTTATTTTTTTTTTTTCTTTCCTCTCATCGTATGGCCTGGGGTGATTTTAGATTCTGTTAGGATTAAGTGGCTGTCCATCAGCATGTGTGACAGGCAAGCATTTTTATCCTATGTTGGAGGGGCTCCACCTCAGCATTCTTGATTGATTTAAGTTACCCAGGTGACAGTCACAATGGTAGGGAGGGTGGAAACCTGAGAATCCTTCCCATCCCTCTGGAAGTTCTGGTCTGAATTGGAGGAAGTGTGTGGGAGGAAAGAATTTCATAAGCTTCTGGACCTGATCCATGGCCAACTCTCACTTAAAAGTAAAAGAAAAAAAGTAAATGAGTCATTCCAGTGACAGATTTATGAAATGATCAGTATGTGTATCTATACCAATAAGCTTGTTTGGCCCTGATGAAGGGAAGTAGTGAAATTACTTTTTTTTTTTTTACAGTATCATTTCCTTTTCCATTTTCTTTCCTTTTAAATCACTGCTTTAATACCTCTCTGGGTTTGGAGGTGCTTTAGAACTTCAGACAACTGCCTTGTTATTTCCAACAGAGCCCAGTGCCCAGAGTCCAGGAAAAAATGAGGACAGACAGAAGGAGGCAATTAGGGATGACAAAGTGAAGGTTGAATGCGGGAGGAGCATAGTCTGGCAGCTTATCCTTAAACTTTACCCTTGACATGTTCAAACCTGTTAGGTCTCATGTAAAGTATTCTCACATGGAGAAGCAGTAGTAAAACTCATCTTCAAGAGTTTGTTGGAAGATGTAATGATTGACCCAGAGCTGGGGAAAAAAAATGTATGTGTATATGAATTAAGCAGGAAAAATGTTTTGTTTTTTTTTTTTCTGACCTCTCCTAATACTAGGAGAATTTTATCTTTTAGGTTTTAGTGGGAGAATTTATCTTTTAGGTTTTAGTGGGAGACAACTGGTTTAAGCAGGAAGGTGTTTGTTAAGAGATAGTTGAGAGCTTATGTTCTCAGAAGAGCTGGAGAAACAGACTTTCAGCTGAAGTTAAAGGAACAACACTCAGACCACATCACACAACTGGTGAGATCTGCTGCCACGTCTGCCCCCAGAACCACCTGCTTCTACTGCCACCTGCACCTGCCAAGCAGGTGCTCTTTACCCATCTGACTTGTCCCATGTCCTGTTTCCAAATCCACCTCAAGTAGGTGTGTCATATGATGAAACCAGGTCCTGAGTCTACACCCTAATAGCAAAGGAGATTGAGAAATGTAGTTTACATGGATTCTGTATTGGAAAAGTAGAATTCACAATGTCTTGAAGTATCAAAGTGTGGAGGTCTAGAAGAGTTTGGGGCAACCACAAATTTGGATGTTCCTTACTAGACTACATTAGTAAATACACCACAGAAATGCCTCATATGAATTAGCAATAAAATTTTAATGATCAACTGCAAAAAAATTCAAATAATTCTAAAAGACAAGTTATTTTATGACTTTATTTGCTGAGGTACTTGTGGTAGTCTATATATTTCTATATGTTTCTCCTTCATTAACTCTCTTAGATTGGTTAATTTTTAGTGTTTGATGTGTTTCTTCCCCTACTTATTTTTCATGACATGGTGGCAAGATCCTATGAGATTAGGCTATCAAAGGAGGAAGGGTTTAAAAATGGTTCCTCTAAGTTCTCACAGAACCATATTGTTTTGCAAAGATTGCTGAGATTTCTAGATTTTGTTTTTTACATGACATTGAAGACCTTTGGAACTATAAATCCCTCTGAAGAAGAAACAACCAGGTTTTTTAAAAATATATTTAATTAATTATCTAATTAATTAATTGATGTATTTATTTGAGATAGAGCATGAGCAGGGGGAGGGGCAGAGAGACAGCTAGACTCCTCCCTGCAGAGCAGGGAGCCCAATGTGGGGCTCAATCTGAGGACCCTGAGACCATGACCTGAGAAGTCAGACACTTAACTGACTGAGCACTCAGGTGCTCCAAACAACCAGGTTTTTAATAAAACTTAAATTTAGCATGGCTTTTTATAGCATGAATTTACACAGACATTTTTTTATAGATTTTTATGGAGACCTAAATGAAGTTCATTTTTTTGGTTTTCAAATTAGGCCATTCTTTTAAAAAAATGTGAGTTTGGTACACAAACTTTTACTCTTTTGAAAAACAAGCAAAATCAAAATAGAGATGCCTCGGTGGCTCAATCATTAAGCATATGCCATCAGCTCAGGTCATGATCCCAAGGTCCTGGGATCAAGTCCCACATTGCATTCCTTGCTCGGGCGGTGAGGAGCCTGCTTCTTCCTTTGCCTGCTCTGCCTGCCACTCCCCCTGCTGTACTTTGTCTCTCTCTCTCTCTCCCTCTATAACAAATAAATAAATAAAATCTTTAAAAAAATAAATCAAGATATTTTGAATGTGTAAATTCCCAATAATGTATCAGGGAAACTATAATTTTCCAATTACTAAAATTTGATGTAGAATACTCTGTAATATAACATTGTAATTTAGTCATCATGTTAAGGATTTTACTTAAAGTGCTTCCTTTTTGGTCACTTAGGATCTTAAATGAAATAGATTTTTTTAAAATGTTGAATATGTAAACAAGCATCTGAAATGATAGTTTTGAAACTTGTTGACACTTACTGGAAAGCACTCAATTATTTCACTTTTTTGATAAACCTTATATAAGCCTACAAACGGTTTGCAAGCCAGAGCATGAATATTCATATGCACGGTCAAGGAAATAACCAGGAACCTTAATTAAAAAGTTTCCCCTGGTTCCTTGGCAACAAAGGATGAGGGAAAAACTTCTCCTTTTTACTTTTTATTTTTTGATCTGAGTAAACAGTTCCTTTAACTAGTATTCTCCACTAAGTATCATCTTTTTATTTTATTTTTATTATTCTACAGGGGGTTAAATACCTGTGCATTCCAGCAGCGGATTCACCATCTCAGAACCTGTAAGTGGTTTTTTTCCTATATTTTTGGAGATATTAAAAATGAATAAAGACCAGTAAAGTCAAGCAAGTTAAGTGCCGTGACATCATCAGAGCCATGGGACTCTTGATGCCAAGCATAGAGGTCTGTGCTGCGAAGTTAGAGCCGTAGCGGGAGGCACACTGTTTGTTTACCAGTCCTTCAACTATATAACACTGACTGATGGGATATCTACAAGAAGAGGCTCATTTTTAGAAACGATGCCTCAAACCAAACTTTTAGCATGTTTATCCTCTCTCTAGAAGCAAAGGTTTAAAGAAGCTAATGGGTTTTGTCTAAGACAGCACCATCCAGTAGAAATAGACTATGAACCACAAATGTAAGCCATGCAGGTAATTTTAAATTTTCTAGGAGCCAAATTAAAGAGTAAAAAAGGAAAGGTGACAATAATTAGGTTGTGGTTAGGCTTCAGCAGAATGAGGGACAGCTCTTTGGAGACCCACAGCACTTCACAGCTTTAAACATTCACACTATTTGGTGTCTAAAAGTGACCTAGAAAGACCACGGTATGGAGTTAAGTTTTACTGAAGCATGGATTTGAACCTTGCAGGTTGAGGGACTGGAGCAGAATTGAAGTACTGAGCCATTCAGTGTATCTAGTAGACACCAGCCTCTGCTTCTCAGGCTGGCCTCATGCTTACATTGCATGTCACATACAACAACCCTGCTAGTATTACACATTACCGCATTTTATTAGGAAAGTTGTAAGCTAAGGTGGCGTTTGTAAATTTGGGAGTCTGCAGACCTATCAGGATTCATCCTTCACGATTCTTAAGCTCTATTGCTTACAAATCCTGCACATTGGAATTACATACCACATAATCTTCTGTTTAGTATCCCAATTGTCTAGCATCTCTAAAAGCTATTGAACACTGAAACATCAGCCAATCTTGATTTTTATTGCTGGACAGCAGATTTTTCACAGATTATACAATAATTTTGAGAGATCTTCCTGTTTGGGGGGAAGAAAAAACAAAAAACGTTGCCAGAGTCAGATCGATTGCTGTGGGGAAAGATGTGGGAAAGCAGGTGGGTAGGACAGGAGACAGGTGGTATAGAGTTAGACCAGGAAAGGTAGATTGGAAAGCAGGGACAGATAACATTCTATGCACGACTTGTTTTCACACTAACTCTGTATTTCACAGAAAAAGTCAATCTTTAAAATCGAGGATGGTGGAGGAAAGATTTTACTAGGATCACTAGGAAAACTGTAGCAGCCTACGTCTAGGAGAAGAAGCACCAGAGAACTTCCTTGGTTACTAGTCGTGTCAAGAAACAGAAGTGGTTGGAAGGGCATGGCGTATACGGAAGGAAGTGAGCCACTGCCTTTCTCTGGAGACCACAGCAATCTTCTGCCCATGTTTTGGTGGCTATTTTTAGAACAGTTGCTTTGCTCTTATCTCAAACTGAGATTCTAATGTACTGTGAACTTGTCAATACCTGATTGGCAATGACTCTTTGGAGGAATCAGATTGTAACACATTCTGGGCATTTGTTGTCAGAGAAGGTAGCCACCTGTACTCGATTGCCCCCAGGATTTTTCAGCTTTGCTAGGAGCCAAGCACTGGGCTTGATGTCCAGGACAATGACTGATGTATGAAATGAAGATTGAGCATTGAGCAGCCCTACACTATATAAACAAGTAAGCAGTAGACCTTGATGTTAGATATCTTACCTTTAAAACTAGTTGCATCTACCTTGACAAGTCATTTAAACCCATCTGAGCTTCAGTTCCCTCATTTGAAAAATTCCTGCCTTCAGGATTTTTGAAGACAGATCACATATCTATGAACTCTAAGCACTTTTGAAAATCAGAGTATACTTTTACTGTCTTCAGGGTGTGTAAATATATCTTGAGAGTTACAAAAGAAGATAGTTGAAATAACAATTTTTGGTGCTCAGGAGGCCCACTTCAGTGGAATATTTGAAAGATTTCTTTACATGGAAAGGCCAGAGTGACAGAAAATATTTCTCTGAGTTGCAGTGTCTCATGGGTCAGTTCAGATCTGGCAAAACCAGCCCAAACACAGTCACCTTGGGTCCAGAGGACCAGCCCATAAGATTTGAATTTGTTCTCTCCCATCCCAAATATGTGCAGAGGTCTTGTTAAGATGAGTGATTTCCCTTTTTAGCCCTTTCCTCACATCTTGGTGAAAGTGTAGTGTAGGATTCCAGTAGGTGGTTATTATAGCACCCAAGTGTGAAGCTAATGACAGAGAGAACTTGAGGAGAATGTGCCACTGCTGCTATTTTGAGTGAAGTCCTATAGCAGTACAACCTCTGATCCAGTTGGAAAATAAAGTCAAGGCCATAACTCATCGAAAGGCAGAAAAGCTGGCACTCTCTTGTTGGGAATTATGTTCATAGGCACTCATGTGATTCTTTGGAGAAACTTTTAGTTTTAATCCATTAGTAATAGCAAATTTATGCATTAAATAAGGATTTGGACACATCGATGTCCATGATTCTATAAATACTTCTTGCTCTACTGAAGTTACATGGGAATTGTGGAGTTAAGTTTGGAATATGAGTATACTTTGTATGTTAAGAGACAGCCTATGAAATAGCTTGAGTTTCTCTTTACTTGTTACAAATATTTTATTGGAAGCATAATGTGCCTTTTAACAGTGAGCATGCTTTCATGATATAATTAGACCATAGCCAGTGAAACACTTAATTCTGTTTATATGACCCACCTCACTGCAGGTAGCCTGAAGTAATTACTCAGCAAATATTAGGAACATATAGGCTAATGTGAACCTTTATTTTCTGTACAATTAACCAATGTAGGTGGTCAGGAGATAAATAATATTAATGCTCTGGTTAACAAAAACAGGAGAAATCATGTCTGTCATTTGGAAAATATGCCCTGGGTAACTCAGATGAGTAGAACTAGTAGTTCTTTAGTCTAGCCATTTTCAATTACGGATGCCTAGAATTCTTATATTTAATGACAAAATAAATTCTAGAAAACTGTATCCCTGTTTTAAACTTACAAACTTTTAAAATTATTTCTCACTTGGGATATAATTTAATACATATAATATATATTTAATATAATATCCTAAGTCTCTCCCCACAGATACTTACACCAACAGGAATTCTTCTTGCCAATTACGCTTAGTAAGAGGTTTGTGACCTTTTGAAACTAACTGCTTCACTTGGTATTCAGTGGCTGTAAACTGCCCAGAAAGGTCATTTTTCTGTCGTGGCTTTAATCCTCATAAACTCCCCCTCTGATCTTCCAGGAACTTAAAACACAGAAACCTGGTGGAGATAACATTAGTACATTAAAATTTTAGCTTAGTTCCCCCAACCACCTTGCCTTTCAAAGTCAGGAAATGTGAAAGTTCAAGTTCTCATAGTCATTATAACCCCACAGACCCAGGTTGGTATGTTTTGCATGATTTGTCACAATTAGAGGCATCCTTGAGTTTATATCAAATGCACAGGCCACATGTTCTCTGGCCGATGTGGCTAGAATTTCTCAGACTTTGAGAAATAGTTGCTTTTGCTTTCTCTCTGTAGTTTCTTATACAGGTCATTTTTAGCCTCGTTTCTCTCATCTGTAAAATACCTATCTAACACAATTTTTGTAGTATAAGGTAGATAAGTGAAAGTGTTTTTTATGAACTCTAAGCATTTTTAAAAATAAGATTATATTTGCTGTCTATCCAAGAAAGAAGTATTAATGTATTTTGAGAGTGAATTACTGAACTATTAATGTATTTTGAGAGTGAACTACTTGAGAGTGAACTAGTTGAGAGGGAATTACTGTAATTCACTCTGAAAATACATTAATACTTCTTTAATTAATGAATAAATAACTAATTTATCAATGAATAAAGAACTACTCATTCTTATATTAATATTTATTAAATTGGTATTTTGTATTTAGACATTGTTAAGGGAATAATTACTTTTTTTAAATCTTTTTTAATCTTCTTGAAGTCCAGGAAAGTTTGATCTGTGCTGTGGAGTTGGTAGCATTGCATCATTACAATAGAGCCTTTGTGACATTCAGTGGTTTGAGTATTGAGCAGGTCTCTAAATTTTTTGAGGTTTTTGTGGGGAGAAGAGGTATTAGCAATACAGTAAGCTTATATTTAAAGTATCAGTAAAACTTCCTTGCCTTATTCTACCTCCTTATCTTTTTGTGTATGTTTTGTTTAGTTTAGCTGATGTCTTCTGTACATCCAGTTCTCTCTTTCACTCATTTACAGTTGTTTTTGTTTTAATTATTAAAAAGCAACTTTGCAAGATCAAAGTGATGTGGGCCCTTAGAGTGCTGTGGTGGTCCTATTTCTAGACAGAAGCATACTTACCTGAGCATCTGTGTGCACACACACACATGCTCACCCGTGACCCCTGAGGACTTTGCAGCCCATAGAAATGAGAAATACTCAGAAAAGGCATATTGAGTTTTCCATAAGACTTGACTTTTTGAATTTAACTATTTTTTAGTCTTCCTTTTTTTTTTTAAAGATTTTATTTATTTATTTGACAGATAGAGATCACAAGTAGACAGAGAGGCAGGCAGAGAGAGAGGAGGAAGCAGGCTCCCCGCTGAGCAGAGAGCCCGATGGGGCTCGATCCCAGGACCCTGAGATCATGACCCGAGCCGAAGGCAGAGGCTTTAACCCACTGAGCCACCCAGGTGCCCCAACTATTTTTTAATCTTAAACTATGTCCTCCTTGTTTTTCTAGTGTTCAGCTACTCTTTGTGAAATTACATTATAGTAGGTGGTAAAGAGGGTTTTGTTTTGTTTTCAAAATGAACTTATGTGGCAAAATGAAAAGCATGATCATACCACATGTGTGTTTTAATTCTCCCCAGTTAAAAACAGTGTTTAAGTGCAGGACATATGAAATTTGGGACATCATTGATATATGAGTAGTTTGTGTGTGTTCAAAACTGCGTGCCGATAGAGCAGCTCTGCCATGTACTACTGTATAATGTTCCTTCCTGCTTGCTTCTGGGTGGGGTGAGAGCTTTACTGTGTTCCAGCTGGGCCCACACAGAGCCTGGGGGCCTGTGCTAATCCTGCCCCAGGAGAAACAGCTTTCTGATCCTAGCCCACCTTCCAGAGCACAGGTTCACTCACTCAGAACTTTCCACCGGCTTGCTTTTTGCTTTTTTGCTTTTTTTTTTTTTAAGCATTCTTTTTTCAGGAGGAAAAAAATAAAGAGTGCTTATCTTTCTTGTTTTCTCCTCCTTTGCTTTCATATACAACATACATGCACATATATGTTTGTGTGTACACATAAATACACACATGTGTATGTATGTGAGAAGGAGAAGTGTCCTGAGTCTCCATGGCTTTTGCTCTCAGTACAGCCTGCTCTGATACTGCTGGCTTTGGAGTAAGCCCAGCTACCATTCAAGGGGTATGATCAAGGGATCATGACCAGATCCCTTGGGCTACTGCTCAGATAAGCAGAGTCCTCAGCAGGAGAAGGCTGTCTCTGACCCCACAGTCTGCCTGTGGGCTGTCACAGGCTGTCTGTGATCTCACAGCCTCCATATCTCATAGTCTTGGAATAAGAACTAGTTGTCAGCCTCAAAAAATGAGCATCATGGGGTGTAGTTTTGCTAGATCCCATCCACCATCTGTTTTGTGCATCTCCGAAGGTCAGGGAAACCTGGCTGGTCCTGTCTCTTGACCTCCAGACAGAGAGAGGGGGGAGGCTCTTCAAGGGGAGGACAGCCAGCACAAACTGAGAAAGGGGGACAGTGGCAACTGCAGGGCTGAGTTTGCTGAGCCCCCACAGAGGAGGGTTCTCCTCTGAAGTGCCCTCTGCCCTACCCAAGGTGTTCTTTTCAGATTGCTGGCAGCAGCAAGCACTATGAGGTAAGTTTGTGACACATATAGGTGGATGAGCCCCACTCGCTTTCCTCCAACAGAACTTATACACATGTCTTTGTACGGAAGTGAGGGTACAAAATGAAGAGAAACAAAATGAAGAGCAAGAATAGGGAACCTATGTTCATTGTAACAGCCTGTGGTGGGATGGTGCTTAAGATGTGTGCTTCTGCTTCACATCGGAGAATTGGGCAACAAGAGCCAGAGTCGCGGGTATTTCCTGTGTGGAGGAGGGAGTTTAATGACCAGCGCTAGAGTTTATGTCATCAGCTTCCCTGGAAATAACCCCCGCTCCCTGCAACACACCAAAGCAGTAGTAAATGTTCCTGCCTCCTGGCTTTACTTGGAAAAAGCACTTCTAGGAATGTCTGCTTGGTGTGGCCTTGTGCCCAACTGTGTTTATGAGTCAAGTTTTGTGGTGGGGCTTTGAGCCATCTCTTCGGTGGCATCATTTACACTCCTGGGCTGGGCTGTGAGCTGTCCTCTCACAGATGTCTGCCCTGGGGTTCCACAGCCCTTGCGCCAACATGGTGGTGGGCAGGAGCCATCTATAGGTTTGTCCTAGACTTAAGGTTGGTGCACTTAGAACTGAAAGAGGAAAGGGCTGGCAAGGAGCAAAGTGGGGGCACCTCCTCATGACTTCCTTGGCCCTTCAGCTCTTTCACACACACTCTCTAGGCTCTGGCAGGTTTGCATGTTGCCCTACTGACCCCACTCCCACCCCACTGTCTTATCCTGAGAAAGGACAGGAAAGACTGACTTTTGAATCCAGATATACCCGATAGTATTTAAGACCTGGGTTTCATCGTGCATGTGGTTTGGTACATGCAGGAATAAAAGCCAGATAGAAGTAGTTGTTCCCACTCTCAGGTTTCAGTAAAGGGATTTGTTTGTTATCACTTTGCAAGATCTTGGTGAGTTCCACGGCACTGACCGTGTTCCCCTAAAACACGAAGTCCTACTCACTTCAAGGGCCCTGGTAACTTTCACGTTACTCGGGCCTTTGCACTGTGTTCTGGAGCAGTCTGTGGTTTGTTCACTACTCAGGCAGTTGTCATTCATTTCGAGATTTGTTTTTCCTCTTCTGGTTGCTGTGTTCTTCCCTACCCATCTTGTCTCAGATGCAGCTCTGCTCAACTAGAAAGAGACCCGTAAAGGACAGGCATGAGTATAGGCAGGCATGGAGAGGACTCTCAGAACCTTTGGCTCCCCCAGCATGGCCGACCTAGTGGACAAATGTGTACCCTCTAGGCCACTGCTAGACTGAAGTCAGGGATGAGCTTTGAGTTCTGGGCAGCCTGTCCTGGTACTGGGATCTGCAGTCAGACCCACCCTACCCTCTGGCATGTCTGGTATGTACAGTGACCAACAGAGGAGGACAGGCTGCGTTGTGTAAACCATGAAGCAGACGGCAGGTGGGCAGCCTGTAGCCACTCCTAGGCCAGATGAGTTGGCTCAATGTTTTTACTTTCTTTTATTTTTTATTTTTATTTTGTTAGTAGGCTCCACACTGAGGTGTGAAGTCCAATGTGGGGATTGAACTCACAACCCTGAGATCAACACCTGAGCTGAGATCAAGAGTCAGAAGCTTAACCAACTGGGCCACTCAGCTGCCACCTAGCTCAGTGTTTTTAAAACTGTTGAATTGGTTGCTGCTATCAGGTAGATTGTATTTGACTAAAGTAGCAGGGTGATGATGTTTTAAGTTACAGAGAAATTTACTTTAAGCCTTGACTAAGAAACGTGGTAGTGGGTGCTCCCAGGCCTGGCCATCAGTACCCTGAGGTCTTCCTTTGCATCCTGCTGCCTCTCCACCCCAGGGGCTTATCACCTGTGGTTACAGGGCAGCTGATGCAGCTATAAACATGACGCTTACTTCCAGTTTCCTAGCAGGAAAACTGGGGCAGAGATAGATAACTTTCATTAGGAAGAGAAAACTTTTCCAGTAGTCCCCACCCCACAACCTTTTCTTTACTTCTCCATGGCTGGAATTAGAGGGAAGGGGGACTATCCTGACAAACTTTGCTGCCCCAAATGAAATCAGCACAACTCAAGATGTCTGCTGCAGTTTCAATACTTAAAAATTGGAAGGCTTCACTGCAGACTATTTTTGCTTGAGAGACAAGCTCTAACAGCACCGAGCTTTCTTTCCTATCTCCAGTGGGCCAGGCTTCTGCCAGTCACATCACAGTGTCCCCATCCCTTCACCCCTCTGTGCATTCAGCTTCACTGCCTGGCTTCCAGCCTTCTGCCTTACAATCCTTTCTGAGATCTCTTTCAGTACTGAATTTCAGATTTCAGGAATTACAGCAGGAATCTTTTCTTGCCTGCTTTAGAGCAAGCCAGTGTTTGTGAGTATAGTTGCAATGCCTGGAGTCATTTTATAAGTGTATGTCTGGGAGCATTTGTGCCTGGGAAAGTTAGCGGAAGTGTGTCTTGTAATGTTCTCATAGTTAAAGATTTTAGCTAAGAGTCTGGGGTCCTTGGGTTCGATTCCCTAGGACTTTTGATCATGCCTTATGGCTGGTTATGGAATATGTATGTGTATGCATGTGCATTTATAGTTTCCTGTTTTGTCTCTCCACCTTAATCTAGCTGGACACCTCTACTTAGGTTGCTAAGTTTCTTCTGTATTTAATACCTGGCTGAGTTTGTTATGCCATACCTGAATTTCTCATTGTTACATTCATTTGTCCTGTTATCCTTCATGAAACAATAGACCTAGCTTGTGTGGTTGGAAAATAATTTTCAGTCTTCCATGAACCTCCCGCAGCTTTGCAGTGTTCAGTAAATAGTATTCAGTTGGTGTTTAAAAGAGGATGAATTTATACCATGGGCAACTTTAGGTGTTTTGCTGCTCTGTAAGTCAATCAAAGGCAGAAGACCTCCAAAAGCGTGTACTCTGTAGGTGCCCTTGGAGTGTTTATAATTAACCCACCAGTCAGTCCAGAACATGCTCTAAATGATGCTGGTACATGCATGCAGGAGAAAGAGTGTTAAAAAAGCTAAGAGTCAGAAGAAGTAAGGATCATGGTTTCATTGTCATAAAGGACTTCAGAGTTTGCAAAGCATTTTGACATATATCACCTTGTTCAACCCTATAAGACATTATTTCCACTTTATAACTGAAGTTAAGGGAAACTAAGTGACTCTCCCAAGGTCACACAGCCAGTAAGTGGCTGAGCAGGGATTGGAGCTCTTTTTTCCCTTTTCCTACAGCACTCTGACAACATGCTGACAGGATGTAACAAAGTCAAGGGAGACCAATATGGGAGAGTATTATTAGGTTTTTCAGATCATCAAAAGTAAACTACCTCTTAGCACTGGGGAGCCTGCAGGATACAGGCACCTTCTTCACCTGGATGGTATTGAATGTGCACAGCTGGTGTGTAGATCATCACTGTGGGGTCACTAGTATGCTCTTGAACATTCAGTGGCTCCAACCGACCCCTGGGCTAGGCAGAAACCACCCCCCACACATACCAGTCAGTGGCAACTCTGTGTTTCAGGGATTCCTTGCGGAGAAATTCTGAAAATCCCAGAAGATGGGCAGCCCTCCCCAGGTCCCAGCATTGTGTGTGACAGATTCTAAAGCTGAGGCAGCTCCAGCCCCAGACAGTGTGACCACGGTTTTGAAGCTGTGGGACTCTGAGACCTTTTCAAGAAACCTCAGGCGGATTTTTCTTTTCATCATATGTTGAGTAAAGTAGAGAGATGTCACTTCTCTCTTTTTTCTCCCCCCACAGGACAAGACATTTCAAAGAAAGTATTAAATTCATTCACGAGTGCCGCCTCAGGGGTGAGGGCTGTCTTGTACACTGGTATGTATGCCTCTGCCTAATCATAGCTTGGTATTTCTGCTCAGCCTGATTTCTCTCAAGGGTTTTTCTGTGTGTTTAGATTAGTTACTTCATCTCCTAATAGTTCTGTCTGCTCTCTGAATCTTGAATACACACTCCATCTGACCCCTGCCATTTGTTAGTCATCATTTGTTTTTGATGAAAGAGAACGCTATATTTTTTTTTTTTTTTTCATTTTCACTTAGGATTTTCATTTTCACAGTTAGGATTTCTGTAGGGTCTGTCAAGGCTACTGGACAGGAACCTCTTTTCTAGCTCATGTCCATTACTCCCTTAGAATAGCCTCCTATGGAGGGTACAGATTTTGTGGGATCATCCCTGAAACCTCAGTGCTCTTTCAAAACACTGTTTCTTTCTGGAGAGTTTTGATCACGTATTTAGCACGTGTTTAGCACTGCATGAGTGTAATACCAGAATGACCATTTCTTCTCCATTTACAGATGGGGGATTTTATATGTGTTTAGCTTAGTACTTTGCTTTGAAAAGATCTGAATAGACTCTTAGAATCAAACAGTTTATATACAGCTCTCCACCTGCATTCAGCTATACTTTGTATGGATATGAATACATATAAATGAGTACATACACACTGCAAAGAAAATTTTATAATACACGCAACCCAAGGACAATGCACACAAAGTTCTTAGCACTGTGCCTGGCTCATGGTAGGCTCTCAGTGGATGTTAGCTCTCATATTTTACTTTTTTTTTAATTTTTATTTTTTTATTTTTTTTTTTAAGATTTCATTTATTTATTTGAGAGAGAGAGATCACAAGTAAGCAGAGAGGCAGGCAGAGAGAGAGGGGGAAGCAGGCCCTCCGCTGAGCAGAGAGCCCAATGTAGGGCTCGATCCCAGGACCCTGAGATCATGACCTGAGCTGAAGGCAGTGGCTTAACCCACTGAGCCACTCAGGTACCCCTATTTGTTTTATTTTTAAGTGAAATATAGTTGGCATTACTTTCAGGTGTACAATATAGTGAATTGAAAATATGCATTATGAAATATTCATTACCGCTAGTACTCATACTCATCTACATAACTGTTATGTCAAAGGAACCAGCAGCCAACATTCTGGAGCCAGAACTCTGCTGTTTATCAAAGTGCAGGCTGAGCATGTTTCCTCTCTATATTGAGTCAGACTCCATATTGAATATTACTCAACCATTAAAAAAAGAGAGAGAGAGAGATCTTGCCATTTACAGCAACATAGCAACATGGCTAGACTGAGAGGTATTATGCTAAGTGAAATCCATCAGAGAAAGCAAATTCCATATGATTTCACTTATATGTGGAATCTAAAAAACAAAACACATAAAAAAATCAAAAGGCAGAACCAGACCTATAAGTACAGAGAACAAACTGATAGTTGCCAGAGGGGAAGGGGGAAGAGGATGGGCAAAATGGGTGAAGGGTAGTGGGAGATGTAGGCTTCCAGTTATGGAATGAACAAGTCATAGGAATAAAGGTGTAGGGAATACAGTCAATGGTCTAACAGGGTTGGATAGTGACAGATGGCAGCTACAATTATGGTGAGCACGGCATAATGTAAACTTATAGAATCACTGTGTTGTACACCTGAAAGTATGTAACACATGTCGATTATACTCGGATATTTTAAAAGACAATATTATGTTGTGAAATAGATTTAAAAAAAAAAAAAAAAAAAGGCTTAACAGTCTTTTGAGTTTCCCCAGAGAAGTTGCTACTTTAGTGAAAGCTCTTTGGAAATGTAAAGTGATGTCTCCTGGGCTGGGTTGCAGCTGAAGTTGGTGACAGTTCTGTTATGACAGAAGAGATCCAGTGCATGATATCCAGAGGAGCCATTCATGAAAACTAATCTCTTCTAAGGGTCTGTAATCTATATTAGGAAAGCAGGGATAGTAGTTTGATTGCTTTAGAAAGAAATAGTTTGCTGGTTTTATGCAGTTCTTAAGATTGTGTGATTTACTTTTTTTTTTTTTTTACTTTAAAAAAGAGTAGGACATGTAACAAATTGTAGATTTTATTATGTTCATCTACATTGCTTTAAGGAATTTGAGGGGATGCAGTTGGAGCCATATAAGGGGAGGTCTATAATCCTGTCCCTGGGATTCTGTGGCTCCTGGTGAATTAGAGTCTCCAGGTTTGCAGCCAAAGAGGATGTATTTTTTAAAAGCTCTCTCAGTATTTCTGATATAAAAGCTTAAGGAAGAGCCACTATGTAAGAATGGTTATATTATTATTACTATTATCATCATCATTTGAATATGTGTAGCCCTGATATTCTAGGAATTTGTATTTCATATGGTTATATAAATCTAAGATAGGCCTTTCTAAAAATGAGAATTTTGCTAAACTTCCCCATCTTAAACCGTTGCTAGAACACTCTAAATCTGACGCAGCACAGCCTTCTGTGACCACCTTAATTTGCATATGCATTTAAAATTGGTCCCCTTACTCAGCCGGCTAGATATAATTAACCGTTATTGACCCCCACATCCCAGAGCACGTGGAATGTAACCACTCTTGTGCTCTGCTCAGTTATTTCAAGAAGAATACAAACTGTTTCATAAGAGCTTCTGTATTTAATGGGCTTTCAGTTATAGACCTAGCCTTCATTTATCTAAGAAAACCAGACCTAAAAAAAAAATGAAACCTTCTAAACTGTGCAGGTTGTAAATAGATTTATTGCATAGATCCCAGACCCTTCAAGTTCCCTCAACGTGCTTTAGTTAGTTATTTTTTCTGCCCAAGGAAATGGGGACTATCTGAAGAAGGGCTCAGGAGCATAGAGAATCATAAAACTGGTGCCAGAAGCGATAGTAGAAAAATCTGTAAAAAATTTAAAAAAAAAAAAAAAAGAGGCTAACACAGACACTGATGCCTATGTTTCTGAGTAATTTCATACTGGCTTGCTGTCCACTCATAATCCAAGGCAGGAAGACTTTCTAAAATGAGATCCACAGAATCCCCTGATCTCAATGAATCAAGAGATAGACTCATGGACTAAAACCCCTTGCCTCTGTGGGTTCTTTTGGCCCTTGCAGCCTGGCGGGCGTCTCCAGGAGTGTGACTCTGGTGATCGCATACATCATGACCGTCACCGACTTTGGCTGGGAGGATGCCCTGCACACTGTGCGTGCAGGGAGATCCTGTGCCAACCCCAACCTGGGCTTCCAGAGACAGCTCCAGGAGTTCGAGAAGCATGAAGTCCACCAGGTAACCATGCTCAAGGGACTTCGGTGATGTGAGCAGCATCCTCTGGGAAGATGCCTCAGTCTTTCTGTACACACCTAGGATCATGGAGGTTGGAGTTTGAAAGGCCCAGAGAGGACAAGAATGCCCCACCTGCATCCCAATTAAAGTCGTCACTGGCCCCTTGTTCACCAGTTGCAGCTGTGGGATGTTGTCTTTTACCATCTTCAGACCCCATATTAACGTCTGTTTATTTCTCTTTGGGCCAAGTGCCATTTTCTTGGTTTGGCTTGTTTTCGTGTCCTCAGGCTAAAACCTGGAAGAAGCAGTTATTTCTCTGGCTTGACACTGGCTGGCCAACCACAGACCTATGATTGCCCAACACCCATTTATTCGTTGTTTACATGTGACAAAATCTGTACCATTAAGTAACAGGCATAATCTGTGTAGATGCAGGGGTGTGTGTGTGTGTGTGTGACATTTTGGTTATGTTTTCAACTTCTCCAGTACCGGCAGTGGCTGAAGGAAGAATATGGAGAGAGCCCTTTGCGGGATGCAGAAGAAGCCAAAAACATTCTGGGTAAATATAAAGAGCAAGGGCGTGTGGAGTCCCAGCCTGGTACAAGGCGGTGGAGCAGCTTTCAGACCCTGCCTCCTTTGGCCTACAGCAACTATACGACGGAGACCTAGTAACTGAGTGATCTGGTGCCTACCTTTCCATCCCTTGTCTTCAGTGCATTTCTGCTGGGTGCCCGGGTGTGCTGGCTGCCCCCATGGAGGACAGGAAAGGGAGGGTGGCAAAGGTGGATCCAGGTTCCCTCTCCATGAATCCACCAGCCCTGCCCCAGGCCCCTTCATCCTGCCCACTCCTGCCCTGCCTGAGTTTGGAGAGTCTGCTTGACTGCCCCGCACCATCTCATGCATGCGCCTGTGTGCAGGCAAGTGAGCGTGTGTGCCCATGCGGGTGGGCGTGTGAACTCCAAATGTTCATATTGCTGGAACAGTCACAGAATCCATGATGCCAGGCTTGGTGTCACCACCTTTCCTTTTGTCCAAGACTCCACATGGAAATCATTTGAAGTTAGCATCTTAAAAGCTGTTCAGCCTAAACAAGCCTGTGGCTGGGAGCAGACCGAACCCAGAGTGGTCATGGTGAGGGCAGCAGGAAGCCAGACTCCCTCCTGAGGGTAGTTCCAGGGGCCCTGAAAGGTGTGTGGGGCTGTGCTCTGAACATTGCCTCAATCTTAATGAAAGTGCTCTAAGCTGTGATTCCTACCACCTCAAGACCCTCATCTCAACCCATAATGTCCCTGAGTTCTTCTTGGTGTAAGTTCTCAGTGGCACTGACCATATTTCAGTTCCATGGGAACCACACCACATCAGCCCAAGCTATATGCCCAGAGCTCTCTTCCATTCTCCTCTTGTCCAGCTTCACTTACTCTCAACCTCTTGTTTTCTTGCTGTTGTAATTCTGCAAGGGTGTCTTTGCAACATCTGCATGCATCTTCAGGAATTGGAAAGAAAGAGCATTTATTAGGCACTGTAGCAAGTTTGCATTTAAAAATACATTTTAAAACGCCTGCGTACTTATTAAGCACCGTCGTATATCCTGTGGATTTGATATTTGATCTCAGCTACCTCATTAAATGTTTTTTTGAAAAAGTATTTTTGTTATTATAATCAGCTCATTGTTGGAAATGTTTCGTCATGATTGCTTTTGAATCCAAAGGGCAAAAGCATCAGTATCATTGAGCTATTTAAAATTTCTACTTGAGCTCCAGTAATGCTTTCTGGTGGGTAAAATTCTACATTTAGGCCAAGCCCAACAGGGCTGGAGAGCATCTGCAGTTTGCAGCATGGAGCAACAGGATCCTGGAATTCTGTGAGCAATTTTGTGGTCCAGTCTTTTATGCCAGCTCAAATTGTTTAAGCACACAAAAATCACAAGAATGAAAAAGTTTACTTGCCTTCTCCCTAAAAAGATGTTGCAGCCCACTTTCTCCAAATCCCACCAACAACAGAGCCTCTGACTAAGAAGAGCAGCTTTCCCCATGCATATAAAGCATATGTCACAGGTGAGCTGCTTTGGGGACCAGGGGAAATTCTACTCACCCACAAAGGCCCCAGATATACACCAGGAAAGAGAAGCATGGCCATGGAATTTTCTACCTACAGCTGAAACAATTTGTCTATTAAGTACGTTTTTTTTTTTTTTTCTTGAACCAAAAAGAAATGTAAATATGGTCACAGAAAAAGTATTTAGGATATTGGGACGCCTGGGTGGCTCAGTTGGTTAAGCGGCTGCCTTCAGCTCAGGTCATGATCCCAGAGTCCTGGGATCGAGTCCCACATCGGGCTCCTTGCTCAGCAGGGAGCCTGCTTCTCCCTCTGCCTCTGCCTGCCACTCTATCTGCTTGTGCTCACTCTCGCTCTCTCTCTCTCTCTCTGACAAATAAATAAATAAAATCTTTTAAAAAAAAAAGTATTTAGGATATTAGCTGAAATGCTTAAATATGTATGTACATTTATGAACATCTAAATATATTCCTGTAGGTCTTGAAATGTTGTTTTAATTTTTGTTGCCAGTAATGTTCTTTCTCCACAGCTACTGCAGGAATTCTGAAGTACTGGGCCTTTCTCAGAAGACTGTAATATACCTGAAGTTTCTGAAATAGTGCAAAGCCGCAGAGTTTAGGCTGGTGCTGCCAAAAAGAAAAGCAACCTAGAGTTTATTTTTAAGTTTCCAGAAGTGATGTGTAACTTGTTTTTCATTTTAAACTGAATATATGTGTAATGATATATGTTGAGAACTAAAGATACTCTTCAGCAAGAGAAAATATTTTTACCTTAATGCCACTGCTACAGCAACTTCTTTAACCTTAACTTTGGGATTTATAAAGCAATCTCAAGAGCCCTGCTGCACTGTTTTGGTAACTGTTTAGTAATCATGATTGCTTCTCATGAGAATTGTGCTGTGTAAACTCTGCTCATGTGCTCTTAAATTCCCCAGCTTGGGAAATATTTCTTGGTGTGTGCTCTACCCACGGTTTGTGTTCTCCTTGGTGGACTTTACCAAAAGCTACACATTTTTGTTAACAAAGGGCAACCGAGCATTTAACTTCATATGCAATGCACTCTTCCTTGGCTGAAGTGTGGATGTCATATGTGTTTCTGCCTGTGAGGGTTGTGAAGCAGGATCGGAATCTGCTCCTGTAGCAGTAATGCTGGTTTAATGGCAGAGGCCACAGTTTCCTCCAGAAGGTAGCACAGAGAGCACTCAGGAGAAGTGAATTAATTTCACCATGAGAGAAAAATTGATCCTCAATGTGAACAGAAAGAAATCCAGAAATTGGACTCGTATTTCTCTTGCCCACACATGAGCACTGATTATGTGGCACTAATGGAATTACTGCATTTGCCACAAGGCTGCGTAGCCCTGGTGCTCCATGAACACTGGCTGCACATTATTGAATGAAGTTTACTCTCATTCCATATTTAGCTTTTAATTTGAAGAAACACAGACTGGCTTGAAGAGCGATTTAAGTCCATTTCCTAAATTGTCCTTGTCTAAATCCAGGGGAAGAAGAAGGAGATTTAACTTTTGACTCCAGGGATAATTTGGGCCTGAACTAAGGGCAGGTGGATACAGGAGCTAATATACGTGGACCCTTTAACTGTAGGTGGCAGGCTTCACCTGTATTCTGAGTGTCTGCTTTGAATGCCTGGAAGCTCCTGACAAGGGCACAGGAAAGGGGCTGGAATGGAGATGACCCTCTGTACTGGCAGCAGCCCCTGCCGGTGTGGGATGATATTCACTGATCAGTGTCAGTCATTAAAATGCTTATTCTGACTCAACAGGCCTGTCTAGATGTAGCCCAGGTAATCCAGTTGTAGGAACCTCTGAGTACTCTCATGTGCCAGCCTTAAAAGCCCTGAGATATCTCCACTTCCCACTCGTGAGGGTGTGCCAGAGCCTTGTCTCTGTGGAAAAGCACAGAGCCTCAGCAAGACCTCTGTGCTGTGTGTAGGACACGAGGCAGCAGAATTAGGAAAATAGGTGTTTTGGTGATGGCCTCAGTCCAGTAGGGTCACCCACCCCTCACAGCGTGACATCCTTTTCTGTCCCCCTCTTCTTGCCATAGGACCAGATCTGGCACCAACAATAATCCTCTAATAATTGTCTGGTGTTCTGTGGGTTACAAACTATCACTGTAAAGCTTTATAAACTCACAGAGGGTATTATTTTATTTATTCACGTCTCAAAGAGGCCAAAAAATACACCCAAAACTGAAAATGTTAGTTCTGCTTTGCTTGAATTTTGATCTTTTAATTCCGAATCAGTGGGTTAAGTGAGAGGGAGGAGCTGAGCTGCCCCTGCACTTTGAACATAGAAATTTATAAGGCTCTAATGAGGGTCAAGGGAGAACCAGCACCCCTGCAGCAAAGCAATATGGCTGCTGAAGCCAGAACCTCTCTTTGGTTGCTTCCACCCCCACACACACCCCTTTCTCCTTGTGGAGTTTGTTTGGGGCCCCAACAGTGGAGTTGGCAGTTAGGAAAATTGAGAATTACAGAGTGGGTCATAAGGACTAGTTTAGGTGCTCCTGGTGCTATGTGGCAGGGGAGGGGAAGAGAAAAACCATTCCAGTTTCAGGGTGAGGAAGGCAGTGTTTAGGGAAGGCATCTTGGAAGAAGTAATACCTAATTTGAGACTTCAAGCTTAAGAGCTAAAATTAGTTGGGCATAGTGGGAGGAAGGGGAGTCCAGGCAGAGGCCCAGCATGTGTGTTAACATGGTGGCATGAAGGAGCACAGTGCACTGGGATGACCCTAAGATACTCTGTGTGACTAAAGCAAGAACCAAGGAGTGGGCAGTGTTAGTAAGTGATACAGACAAAACTGTATACACAAGCAAGGGCCCAGTCAGCCAGGTTGATACCATTGCTTAGTATCTGTATATATATTAGTATTCAGTAACTGGTTTACTTCTTATACTAGCCCTTGGAGCTAATCAAGCTCAGAGGTCGTGCCCTGCCAGCTTCCCACAGGGCTGATTTCTGAGCTTAGAGCCTCACAAGAAGCATGCATGCCATTATGCAGATGTAATGAGTAGAGGTGGGGGCTGGCTAAACTTGCTAGAGCAAGCAGGTACCATGGTTGGTTGGCATGTAGGTGGAGAATGGAGGGTCCATATTGGAGGCCAGTCAGGGGCAGCTGTTTTAGTCATCCAGGTGATGGAAGATGATGCCCTGAACAGGATCATGGTGATGGAGATGAAGAGGGACCAAGAAGGCAAATAGATTTAGGCTTGAGGGAGTTTGGGAAGGGAGAAACAAATGCTCTCAGTACTGGATTGAATGTGGGGGACTATGGGTTTTGTGGCCTTTTCACTCTGGAATCTAGCTTCCAACACAATGGTCCTTTGTGTCAACATCCTACTTTCCTTTGATGTCGGTGTGTGGGTTCTGAAATGTCAAGGTTAGATTTAAGGGGACTGCCAGACCTGGGGCCTCCAAGGACAATCATCCCAGCTTTGCAAATTAGGTCAAATTTATCCATGCACCCAGGACAGACTCCCAGGAACTAGATTCATAACAATGTGGAAGTCAAATGTCCAATTTTGTAATTTTTTGTGAAAGATAAAAAAAAAAAAAAGTAGCTTTATGAAAACCAATTTTATTCACTAGGCTATCTCTCTTTCAGTGTCAGGATTTTGGAGGAAGACAAATTAGTCATTAGGCATTGTCTTATGAGATGGACATGGAGCTAAGAGCCTTGGCAGGAGGCGGGGGATAATCCTGATCTGGTGTGCCCCATAATCAGATTGATATTCCCATAACATACTTAAGTGGTATTTCTACCAGGCTCCTGTTTTGCGCCCTGAAGTTACCTTTCCAGGGTCTAGTGGACCATCAAGTTTATGTACTCTCTCTGCCCAAGGTGATCTTGGACTTAAATCACATTTTTAGAGCAACTTCATTTTTTAAAAAATTTTATTTTGTTTTTTTCAGTCTTCCAAGATTCATTGTTCATGCACCACACCCAGTGTTCCTTGCAATACGTAGAGCACCTTCATTAACCTTGGGTATCCTTATGTGTCTTCAATAGCATTTATGCTTTTCTGTGGGGATAGGTTCCCACTAGTGGCTTTTTTTCTTATTTATTGGGTGCCTATTCTTTCTAGTTTCTGTCTCAGCAGGGAACCTCACTTCCAACTTCTGGGTCTGTTTTGTGTTCCTCTTGCATAGAGACAGCTTATAAAATCTGGTGATTTGTGTGCGTGTGTGTGTGTGTGTGTGTGTGTGTCTGTGTGTGTGTGTGTGCACATACACCTGTGTCTTATGTTTTTATTAGTTTTAGAGAAATCCTTAGCTTTCAGGGGAGTCATGTGTGCTACATCAAGGGTAACTTGAGCTCCGGTACCTTAAATGGCAGGTACTTGGGGCACCCAAGGAAATGTCAGAGCCCATATTGCACAACTAGAGCTAGTCACGAAGAGCTGCTCTGCACACCAGTATCTAGTCATAAAAATAGGGAACACACTAAAAATCAAAACCCTGTGATCCCACACTAGATGACTCCTCCCATCCTGACCCTAAGTTATTAATAATTTTATTAAGAATGTGCTTTCAACATGCTTACATTTATATATGTACTTAACAAGAAATCACCAAGACTTCAGAGGGAAGTTCTTCTTCCCTTTCCTTTTTATTGCCCAGAGAAAGAGAGAAACTGCGAAGAAGGAGGGGGAAAAAAGCTGCATTTGACTTGTCACCAGAGGCTTAAGCATATCAATCATTCACTTCTTAGAATTTAGTAGGGTCTCCTGAGGCCTTGGGCTCATTGAGACTGTCATGGACTTGGATGCATGTAATGCACTGGCCACATTTCATCATGCAGACAGATCTTGACACTTTGCTCTTGTTTTCCTATCCCCACTCTAGATCTTGAGACCTGTCACTGCAGTAACAGGACATAATTAGTTCAGCCAGTACCAAAATTAGTAATCAAAATTAGTATCTATTTTGCAGCTAAGGCTTAACCACCTAATAAGCATCCGACTAAACGTTGCAAGTGCTGTGCCTGTGTCTCTTTCCATCAGGGGAAAGAACTGCCAGTCCGTATTTGAACATCTGCAAGTTTGGGTTTATTTTGGCTCTGGATATCTATGCAAACTGTTGATCAAGAGTTAGTAATTTGCAGTTAATTTTCCTGAAGTTTCCAGTTCACTTATTAAAGTCTGGTGTCAAAAGAGCTATTTTAGCAGGTGACTGAAATTACTAGGCAGTTCAACATTCTGAGTGTGATGTTGACTAGTTAGAGGTGGGGTTAGGAGATAATTTTGAATGGGATTGTACCTGAGCACATCCTTCATTCAAAGACCTACTTAAGAAAACTAGATAGGAGCCAGAGGTTAAAAAAATATATAACTTTGATTTTTGTGGGGTTAACAATTTCTTCTAGAAATAATGTAGTTTATGCTGATCACACCATTTGTCTATTTGCCCAACTTGACCCAAGGAGGCCGCATTACAGTGGCCTTTCCATTTAGCTTCTCAGTCTTCCAGGACACATATCAGTGACAAGCAAATATGTCATGAATGGAACATTGCCATCAACGTGGTGTTGGTCCCTCTCTCCCCTTCAAGTCTGTTGATCGATCACCAAGTGCTTTGCCCTCAGCCTCTTGTGCCCTTCACCAGAAGTGGCCAAACCAGCACAAACAGGAACCATACTTTCTGGTGAGCAGGTTTGCCTTTTGTTTGTTGGCTATGGGTTTTCCCAAGGCACTGATATGGAGCCTTTTTGGAAAATAAAAATCAAAAACCCTCCACATGTGCACTAAAGAAATGTCACCTTCTGCTTTGCAAAGGGTGTGCCCTTCAAGGCAAGAGACCCAAGTAGCACTGAGCTTCCTCAGAATGGGAGTCCCTAGAGAAGCTTGTCACGTGCCAGGGGTCAGATGTTTGTATTCTCCTTGGTTCATGTTAAGCCACACTGATGTGGTGGCAGAGAGAAAGGCAAGAAGGTGTGAAAGGAGAGGACCATTTCTCAACTGTTTGCAGAAGCCTTCATGAATCTCCCAAAATCAGGTGCATCCCAGAGGTGTACTGAAGATGTGGGCTAAAGCCCATTTCATGCCTTGATAATTCACTATCCTACAGCAGACAGGCCTATTTTCTGCTTTGCCAGAACCCCTCCCCATCATCTTCCACCTTCCAAGAGCAGAAAGGCACAGGTCCTGATAGAGTAGGTTGGAGGAGATGAGAGGCCAAGGTCTCTCTGGTGACCAGGCAGCCAAGATAGTCACAGGCCAGACAGGCCTGACTAAGGTCCATTTTAATCCCCATTCTCTGGAATACCTTGGGGAAGTCCCAGAGGAGGCAACCCACTCATGTGGGGAACTTCTAAGACTGGAGTAAAGAAGCTCCGTAGAAGAGATGAGCAGAGCTAGAGGATACCATGTGTCATGGCACAGTGATGTGCCCAGAGACAGCCTCATAGCCTTTCTGGGTAGCATTTTATGTGTCTAGAAAGGCCTTTCTAATTGTGAAGAGCTCCCATGTAGGTTACAAGACAATCAGCCTCTTGATGGTCAACAGTTATTCAGCACTTAATGTGGGAGAGAAGCTGGCATTGAGACTTTTTCTTGAAATCTCTTCTGACAACAATCTTATGGGATAGATTTTACTATGGGAGAAACTAAGTTCTAGAAAACTTGAGCATTACCCAGTCTCAGGGCCAGAAAGTGACCAAGTGAGGATTGTAATCCAAGGAATCTGGCTCAGGTGTGCCTAAATGTCACTACTTCTTTCAAAATGCCACTACCCCTGGGAGGCTAAGCTAATAAAATGCCAACAGTCATGTGTACTCATGTTCAAGTTTTTTTCTGAAGGTGGGTTTATGTTAGATTAGAGGCCTAGTGGGAAGATTAAGGTGGAAGATTGCTAAGTATAGTTAAATAGGCACATGAGAAAGGCATTTCTTTTTTCTTTCCATCAAAGCCTGGCCATTGTGTGTACACTATTGCTGCCACACATACCTCTGACTGGGTATTTCTGATTTAGCCTAGAGTAGCAGGCAGAGTACTGAGATACCCTAGGGCCCCAGGAGGCCCTTTGCAAGAACATAGAATGGCAATGTGTGTTCAGGAAGAGGAAAGAGAGTGCCTGGTACTTTAAGCAGATGGTATTCTGTCCTTGATGTGCCATCATTATACAAATAGAGGAACCTCAGTGAAGTTTTTTCAAGAAGCTCAGGGATTTGCTGCCACCCAAGTCAAATAACTCACATGGAAACATTCATCAAGGACAGAGACGTGGAAAGCAACAGTAGATGTCAAAGCAACCAGAGACTGACAGGACCTCCTTCCAATCCCTGGGGCTGAGGGCCAGGGCTGAGAGATGAAGTTACTAGAGCCAAGTAAAAAGTGAGCCATGAAGGGGTGCCTAAGCAGGGCAGGTCTTTAAGAAGTAAAGGAGACTGGGAGGAAGCAGAGTAGAAGTCTGCCATCTATTATCCTCTTGTCCTATCTCCCTGTACCTAATGGGAAGCTGGCCAGCAGAGGATTTTGCATGCCACGTCCACGGGGGACAGAACAGTGTGATTACCGTACAATAGGCAGCCCTGGTGGGTGGAGACACAGTGATAGGATGGAGGAAGTGCCACAAGCTTCCAAGAAGTATCTAAGTGTCAACAAGCTGATACTAAAAGTGGGCCTGAGTGGGGAGCCTGGGTTCTCCTACACACTTTGTCCTGAAGTATGCTATCTGGAGCTTGGCCTGTGACTCACTGCTTTCATCTTTAGAAAGCTTTTAGAAGCATCCATGTCTGCCAGTATGCCCCTGCTGATCTGTGCTTTCTTATGGCCTCTCTGGAGAAATGACACCCTCTAACATTAAGGCCATCAGCCATGACATCTGAGCCTCTGCTACAAATTGTGCCCATGTGAGAGGCCCCTACCCCCTGTACTGAAGCCCATGAAGAGGAGGGAGGATAGTTTGCAGTGCCTCAATCATGCCATATTGCCTGCGGCTCACTGGGAAAACTATGTCATGAGATGCTTACAGAGTTAGCACTATGTGCCATGAGGGAAAGGACAAATTCGGCAGGGCAGCCTTGTCTTCAGATTTTGAGCTGGAGAGAGCCTTGTGTATATTCACAAATATTCTGTGAACAAATGCGGAGCACAGAATCATGAATGCAGGCCATGGAGAGTGTCCTGCTGGGGATGGAAAACTTGGAAGAAGAGTGAAGGACATCCTGGGCAGAGGGTGACATGCAAGCAAAGGCACAAACAAGAGTGAACAGAGTGTACTTGGAGTCCAGGACCTGTCTTGGAGATGACTATGAGGGAGGTGAGGGTTGGAAAGTAAAATGGCTAATCTTGTCCTGAACTGTAAACTGTGGGTAGATGTGGGTGGGCCTTGGATTGATTTGGGCCCATCAGAATGGGCTGGAAGCAGGAAGGTAGAGCAGTTAGGAGGGAAACAGGCTCATAGCCTGGACCAGATGCCCCATGGGACCTCTCCAAAGATGAATCTACCAAGTGAGGCAACATAGATAATGACCATCTTGAAGTAGTGACAGACAGTGCTGGTTTGCTTTCTCCAGAAGCAAAAACAGAGTTAGGGGTACAAAAGATTATTGGTGACAGGAGGGCAGGAGGCTTATGGGCCAGTGGGGCTGTCAGGTTGCAAAATAGCCCCACCTTCTCTCCACCAGAGAAGCCTAAGAGCAGGCATGACTGATTGCCCCAGAAGAATGGCCTGAGCTGCCAAGCAAGGCAGCCCTGAGAGGCCAGAGCTCAGCGACACTTACCATGCTTGCAGGGAAAGACAGCCTGACACTCTCCAGGGACACCTGGTGCTAAAGTGCAGCCTTGCAGAGATACTTCTCCCCAGTGTCTCACACAGCAGGGCTGCCCAGAATACACCCAAACTCCAGTGTTGGAGCCTCCAATGTAGCTTGGTCAATTGGGTGTCTCTGGCAACTAGAAGCC